CCTGGGGCAGGAGGGGTTGCTCTGGGCCCTGCATCTGGGGCACTGGTGGGAGGGTTGTCCCAGGTTCCATGCCACTCTAAGGACAGTCCTGCCTGTGGTCATATCTCTACGCTGTGCTTACACGTTACGACATATGAGCAATAGGTTATGTGCAGATTTGCCAGTAAAATATTCTGAATTGATACACGTGACTTGTACGGACCATTCACTGTGTGTGACATCTACACTGGCCCAGAGATGTTGGGTTTGGCACCCATTGCAGTGACAGGGAAGGGATCCCAATGCAAGCTAACAGTCAGTTTTTGTTCCTTCAGGAAAAGGCAGAGGAAGTGTATCGCCTCTATCAGAACTCTGCACTCTCTTCCCACCCGGTGGTTGCACTCTCAGAATTGCGCTCACTCTGTGCCAACATATGTCCGGATGAGAGGACATTCTGTCTACTGCTGCTCCAGCTGCAGAAGGAAAAGAGGGTCACGGTCATGGAGCAGAATAGAGAGAAGGTACAGAGTGTGTGCGGTCCCATTCTTGTTAGCCATTCTGTTGGGCTGACAGGCACTAATTTTTGTGTTCACTCGAAAGAATTCTACACTTCTCAAGCTGATCCGATAGGCAAGCTATAGGCACAGGTTTATTGGTATTCATAGAATACTAGAACCAGAAGGGACCTCGAGAGGTCATCAAGTTCAGTCCTTGCCTTCGCGGCAGGACCAAGCACCATCTAGATCATCCCTGATGGATGTTTATCTAATCTGCTCTTAAATATCCCCAGTGATGGAGATTCCACGACCTCCCTAGGCAATTTAGTCCAGTGCTTAAGCACCCTGACAGAAAGTTTTTCTTAATATCCAGTTTAAACCTCCCTTGCCCGTTGTCTTGTCCTATCAAACAAAACTTGCTCTTAAAGCAAAACTCCCCAATGATCTGGGACAAGAGGCAAAGGAGAACACTGTATCCAGTTGAAGCTACATAGGGATTTTGGCATGGATGAGTGTACTTTTCAGCTTGAACGTGGCCACGATACTGGATTTAATACTGCAGCTCTTGGGAAGTGGGTTGTACCTTAGGCTTGATAGTTATGATGTCGGTTTTACGTCTAATCTGAATATTGACCCCCTCCATATCACATGGACACTGTTTGGATAGCAGTAATACTTGGTCACCTCTCAACTTCATAGTTCGGCACAAACATTAAGTAACTGACGTGGAACCCAAAAGACGAGTACCTCTTGGAGTTGCCCAGCACAGCTGCAGTTTCTGGGCATTCCTTTGAGGCATCAAGGCAGCCTACTAACATGGCTCTAGTGTGCTATTGTAGAGGATTATAGGTCAAGCAGACATTGCCCTTTCTTTAAACTCTGGTTTATCCACGTCACTTTTCGTATTATGAGCTCAAAGCTGAGCAAGAAACTGTGACTGCAGTTTACACAGTCTTATTTATTAAAGGAGCTCTTGCTTTTTTGGCGTAGATATTGCTTTAGAGGTTGCAGCTTGTGAGAACACATGTCCTACAGTCTGGCAATTCAATAATGCGCTCCTCCTCCTTTAGATAGTGAAGTTTGCCCGTGGTCTCCATGCCAAAGTATCTCCAGTGAATGATGTGGATATCGGGGTCTATCAGCTGATGCAGAGTGAGCAGCTGCTATCACAGAAAGTGGAGTCCCTTTCGCAGGAAGCAGAGAGGTAATGTGTGTGTGTGTGTGTGTGTGTGGAGGGGGGGGGTCCTCCTGCTCTCTCTGGGGGGAAAGCTTTGATTGTGACCTGTCCCTATGTGCATATATAATGTGGTGTTGAGGGACTTGCCCTTTCACCCAGTCACACAAAAAGAGAAGAAATAATTCTCTGGCTGCTGGGTGTGTGGGGAGCAAAGTATCAACCTAAGTTCTCCACCCATTTTACCCTGTGTTGTCAGTCAGCCCCTTCCCAGGTATTGTTCTTGGATGCACTCCAGAATACTTTCCTACTAGGCGTATTGGAAAGCAATGGAGTGACTTATGGTGGGTACTGGATCTGAGTGAGTCAGTTGCAAGTAGCTAAACAGTGGTGGTGGGAGATGGGGGGGGAGGGGGAGAATATCACAGCTGCTTCATGCCCATAGGGTTGAGGTTCATGTTGCCCTCTGTCATTGCAGGTGTAAAGAAGATGCCCGGACCGCTTGTAGAGCTGGCAAAAAGCAGTTGGTACGTATGCCCTGCCCACTCTGCTTGGGAAGCTGTGGTCTTGGAACTGTGATGCGAGATGGGCATCATCTGAGTTCCAATGTTGCATGCCAAGACCATTCTGATACTGCAAAACATGCCCCAGAGAGGGTTGATTCACATGATGCCAACTTTGTGGCTTGGAGTAGGCTGGTGGGGAGAATTTGAGGGCATCTCAGTCCTAAAGTCAGCCCCTGGCACATGGAATAGTTGTTATAAGAAGGGATGACGTTTGGATGTTGCCTGGTTTCTGATCCAAGTGTGCCTATGTTCTCAGGCCCTGAGATGTTTGAAGTCCAAGCGACGGACAGAGCGGCGGATGGAAGAGCTCCTTTCCAAGCTGGATGTGGTTCAGGGCATCTTGGATCGTATATATGCGTCTCAGACAGATCAGATGGTAGTGTGCTTCTTCCGCCTCTTGCTTCACATGTTCACTCTGCTGCTCAAATTTGCTTTGCTTTACCTACCTCTTTAAGTTCTGTGTGTGAGGAGCACCTGCATGTGGGTAAGATTTCATCCTCCCTACTCCGAGATGCTGAGCATGGCATAGGAACCTTACTGTGACTGGCATGGCACTTAGCTTGTGGGTGCATACTCTCCTTGACCCTTCTTGCTGCTGTCCTACTGAAAACTCTGCTAGGATAGCAGAAGCCATGCACTAGGGCTTCTCTAAAGAAGCCACAGCTTGTAGTGTTTCCCGGGGCTAAGGAACACGTTCCTAATAGAAGTAACAGTCTTGTCTTTTCTGCTTAATAAGGTGTTCAATGCCTACCAGGCTGGAGTAGGAGCTCTGAAGCTGTCCATGAAGGATGTCACTGTGGAGAAGGCAGAAAACCTGGTGGATCAGATTCAGGAGGTATTGTGAGAGGATAGCGGCATGTAAACAGATAGGAAAACAGTGGGTGAATGTACTAGGTACATTTCTCGGGTGTTAAACTAGAGGCTTCTGACACTATTTTGCCCTTATGTTCTGCTTGTCTCTTGGGCTGTATGACCTAGGGATGTAAATAGTGCAGTCGGTTAACCAATAAGCAAAAGCTAAAGTTAATGCTATAGACTACACGCATTCCATCTTCCCCTTGCCAGTAAACTTTTTAGCAGCGCAGGGCGACAGGCAGCCAGTCCTTGTTTTTAAACGAGCTTCCCTTGCGGACCAGCTCCAGCCTGGCACCCCGTGCTGCTGCCTCTGATACTGAGCCAGCAGCATGGAGTAGCCAGGGGCTCCTCGGGAATGGGCGGCCCTGTCCCCGCGGACTATAGACTAGTCGACTAACCGATAAGAATTCATGAGGTTAACCGACTATTCAATTAACTGATATTTCACATCTCTAATATGGGCCTTAAATCAGTTTCCATGTTAGAACATAAGAACAGCCAGACTGGGTCAGACCAAAGGTCTGTCTAGCCTAGTATCCTGTCTGCCGACAGTGGCCAATACCTGATGCCCTAGAGCATGGGTTCCCAAACTGGGGGGCATAAAGAAATTCTAGGCGCCCCCCCCCCCCCAGTTTTTCTGCTATTTTTGTTTTTTGGCCCCAGTCAGTTCTTTTTCTCTTTTGTTGTGTGCCCCCCCCAAAAGTTTTGCTGCTATTGGGGGGGCTGGAGCACGAGGGTGTCTCAAATCAAAAAGGGGTGTGATGCTGAAAAATTTGGGAACCACTGCCCTAGAGGGAGAGATCACAGCAGGTAATCCACACGTGATCCCTCCCCTGTCACCCACTCCTTTGTCCTTAAAATACCTGTGACATTAGCGCACTAAGTGCTGGTAGATGTTCTTTTCCAACACTGTGTAGTATTACAGAGATTCTTTTAATCTTAACCTGTGTATTTAGAACATTTTGAACATTTGCTTTAACAACATTTTTAATCTAATTGATTAAATTGAAGGGCTTCATTGCAGAGCCATTTATGGTTCATTGTCTTTCAGCTTTGTGACACCCAGGGGGATGTAGTTCAGGCTCTGGCAGGAATGGCGATCAATGACTTGGGTGAGTTCATCCATTTTTGCAGGCTTCTCCTTAACTTTTTTTTTTTCTTTTAATTGCTCAACAACTTTGCTCTGGAGTATCGGCACCTTTTTTTCTTACAAAAAAAGCACTGGGAATAATGGATGTTGTTCCGAAATAACACTGCTGTGTAGACGTACCCTGAGAGTCCTCTGTTCTACTGGCGCCTTGTAGAGGGAGCAAGGGTTTACAAGTGGTCTCCTGGTTTCTGACCACTGATTGCAAGTGACTCAACAGGTAGATGGAGAACTGGGGAAGGGAGCCAGCTCGCAATTGGACTCCTCCAAACATACAAGTTCATATAATTGCTGATAGTCTTCCAAGGTTGGGGCTGTAAACTGAATAATTTAATCTGTTTTGTGGATGGACACCTCAGCTGAAGTAGTAGTCCTTGGGCAAAACCCCCACTATTTCCCCTTCGCTTTAGTGAAGTCCTTCCTTTCTTCCTGGTTTATCTTGAACAGTGCCTTACTGTGTTGCTTTGTGTTTCTTCCCAAACACTTCACCTCCAACAGTCCTTCCTCCACACTCAGGCTTCGGCAGTGACATTCTCTGCTAGAGGATATGATACATCAGCCCTCCTGCCTTTAGTAGACCACACCCTCCCACCCCGGTCCTAGATGTGGAACTTTCAGCCTCTTCTGCCCTGAGGCATGTGGCATTGCTCACGGTGTTGGGTAACAGGAGAGTTGGAGTGGGTCTCCTGGCTTGTAGTAACTTTGAGGGGGCCAAAACCAGGACATTGGTGCCTGTTCTGAATTTATAAAGTCAGTGTTAAGTTTTTCTTACCTGAGCAGGAATCTGTGCAAACCACCAGGTAAAAGACGAGTTCATGGAAGTTTTTCAGGCTTAGGTTCTCCGGTGTAACATCCTCTTTGAAAGGGGTATGACTTCTTGGCTGAGTGGGCAGCTCTTCCGCTGATGGAGGATTGTCCTTGTTGCACGCTCCTGCTGCAATGCCTAATATTGTTTAATTTCTCCAGCGATTGATTTGTTTCTTCTCTAACCTCGCAGAGGTTGACACTGAGGAGCTTGAGAGAGAACTGGATAGTCTCCTCCAGGACTCCACTAAAGAGCCCATGGACCTGCCTCCTGTTCCCCAGAAGCCTCTGCTTCCCAGCACCTTGGATACTGAGCTTGAAGCACAGTTGGAGAAGGAGGAGGGAGGTATGTATCAGCACACTATCTTAGCTGGTGGCCTACTATTGGGATCAAAGACGCCCACACCTGAGAGGTGATGGCTCTGTCCGCTTACTAGTGGCCAGATATCCTGCTGTACAAACTGACTGCTGTGCTATAAATTGGCACCTTCTGTCAGTGTTGGCATAGAGACTAAGCATAGAAGCAGAGCTACCTCAAAACCTCTGGTGATGGTTTACTAGGGATGCCCTATTGAAGGGGCGCATGCTCTCCCACTGTCCATTTCAAACCTGTGGCTAAATGACAGTAGTCTCCTTGGCTGTGAATCCAGCATTACATTATCCCAGAGCATACCCTTCCCTGAACAGCCCTAGTCCCCTTGTAGGGTGAAATGGAGAGTTCTCCTACTTCAGGAGCTAGTTGAAACTGTTTATTTCCCAGCTAGTTGACGGCTCCTGAAAGTGAAGCATTGGGAAGAACTGGATAGAGGTGTGCGCATGTGTGTGCGTGTGCGCGTCCGTTTTATAAATATTCATAGGCCCATCTGCCAGGTCCTTAAATATGCTGCAGGTCCTCTTTTTGTTCTCCTTCATTGTATCTCCTCCTCTTTCATGTAGGTGATACAGACTATTAAATGGGCCACCAGTCTCAGCTTCACTTAAAGATGAAGGGCTTAAGTTTAATTAAAAAAAAGGGGGGGAAGGGGGATCATTAATCCCTCCAGTTTCAAAAAGTGATAAATATCAGAAGCTTCAGAGGAAGGCATAAAATCATGATTATAGAATGACCTACCCATAGAATTTTCTTCAGATCTTTAAGCAGTTAGTAACTTCCCTATGTCCTGAGACCTGAAGGTTAGTTTCCTTTACATCTTAGGACAGAAGAGGTGATATGCTATTTAAGTGTCAAGAAACTGCTATGAACTTACAAAGCATTTGGGGTGACGGGGTTAGTAGCTGTTTGCCTGTCTTTGGGACTTAAGACGTGCTTGGTGTTTCTTTAACCCATCCTGCTATTAAACACCCACTCTTCTTCTCTGTTGCTTTATTTGTAGATTTGGCACACAAGACTGCTTCTACGTACTCTGAACCCAAAAGAGCTCTGGAACTGGGTCTCTAATGGTGTCCGGCTGCTGTAATCGAAAAGCTGTCTTAAGCTTGCTTAACTAGGGAGCATAACTTTAAAAAGAAACTTTTGGAGTGTGGGCTAATGCCCCCTCTTTACTGGCTATCACTTTGCTAAGCAACAGGATCTACTGCCATGACAATCCACCCTTTCCAGGACTGATCCTAGCTGGTGTTGCTGACGTCTCTCTTTAGTGTCAATATCTACACTGGGCTCAATTTGATTTATCCCAGCTCATCTACGATATTCACTCTTGCCTATGAGCTCTGTCTTCCCTGCAGAATTACAACTCCTGGACTCTCCTACTTCAGAACTCTCCTTACTTCTGCTATGGCCAGAGTTGAGGAGACCTTGAAACATAGTAGGATCAAAGCTGCTTGACCTCTGGCTGTTTGTGTGCTCGTGTAAAACATTTGGCTCGTAACATAGGTACTTGACTGTCACCTGTCTAAAGCAAGATTACACACGTTGATAGTACTGTCTATCTTTCCTTGTTTGTATTTGCACGATTGTGGTCCACAAAACCAGTAACTGTTTTATTGTATGAGACTTGTTGCCACTAGGGGGAACCAATTGCCAGCACAAAATGAAATTTATTCCTCTTTTTGTAATACACTAAGGCCTTGAAAAGGGACCTGCAAAGGATTTTTAAAATGGAGGTGTTCCTTTTGGTGCTGCGTGATGATAAAGGCCAGTAATGTGTATTACGTTTCTGCTTGGTTTTTACTTGTAGAAATAACAGCTCACGTTTAGTCTTCCCTGCCTTTGTGAGAACTTTGAGAGTCACGGGGATGGTTAGTGTGAGTTTTGCACCATCACTGAATAGATGGGGATTTTGTATCCTCCTCCAAAGCGTTCATTAGGCAGTGGCATTAATGGTAAAATAGAGTATTACACAGTATAACAATCCTCTCTTTTAGTTTGTCTTGAGATGTCATAATTGCACTAGGCCACTAGTCCTAAAGAACTGAATTTCTAATGTAAAACCACAAGCAGAGGAAATAACCTTTAGAGCTGCCTTTGCTCATCAGGAAGAAGTGCAATTTCTCTTTGCAGGTCCCTTTTTTTAAACTATGCTTATCATGTAAATGGAAGAGGGCAGGCCTGATCTGTCTTGCCTCCAGTGGCATCTAGTGCAGTTGGATTAGCTGCTTTAGGCAAGGCACGTGCTTCCAACTGTGCTCTCGTGTGTATCCTGGCTCCCGATGGGAGCAGCATGCCTGAGACGTGGAGAGGTGAGTACAAAGTGTGGCTGACCCAGGAAACGAAGGCTGTAGAGTGGACTAGGTGCGTGTACATTTGTAACCGCTCTCCTGCTTGTCTCCCCGCATCGAGTCAGTGTTTGTTTATTGGGTAAGAACCCTGTTCTGCTACTTGTACCGATGGCTCTCCATTTCTCAAGCCATGCGGAGGGCAGTTTGGATGAATAGTGATGGAGTAATGAAGAAGGGATGAGGCATTGCACCGAGACCAATTTCAGGAGAGGGGGAAGAAAGCTACCAGCAAGGTATCGACAGTCAGCTACAGCTCCTCTTCCACTCCCTCCCCCCATAAACACCAGTACTATTTCTGAGTGGAGACCCCTTCTCCTATGGAGGGTACGGTGCAAGGGGTTAGCAAGCCTCTTGTGTTCCTTTCCTTTGTAAACCGAGGAAACTGATTTTTCTACCTGCCATGTAATAAAGGGGAAGAAAAAGAAACATCCGTTGTGCTGCCGGTTTCTCTCTCGTACTATTTCTGACGTGGATCACATTCATGCTGCTCCTGTGGTGCTTCCAACAACTATGATGGGAAGATTGTTGCTAAACGTAAGTGGGCAGCTGACAAGGGTTTGATTCAAAAACAGTGATGGATAATCCATGCATCAGGCTGCTGGGTGAGAGCGCGCCAGTGCTCTGGATTGCATCTCCGTCAAAGCTGGCAACTGCTTTCAGTGAGAGAGATGCCTGCTGGCTTGTGGTTCAGGACCCTGGGTGTTTCCATGAGCATTGGCTGAAAAAGCTCTTTGATCCTGAAGAGCAGAGAGAGGCCAGGCTGTCCTGTCTACCTCTTGTTCGTTCTCAGAAAGCTGCGTGACTGTAAAATGATTAAAATGGGCTTTTCACCACGCCAGCGCCGTCCCTACGCATATGCAAAATACTCAGCTGCATAGGGCACCTGATAATTTGGAGCATCCAGTTTTTGGGTGCCCCCCCTGCAGCTGTGTGCTCTTGTATGCCTCTACTGGTTCCTCCCTGTGACTGCTCTCTCCCGATGGTTACAGGGAATCTGCCTCTTCCACCCCCCACATGCTCCTCTCCGCAGCTGCTAGTGAGGGCTCCCTGCTACCAGACTGGCTATGGAGAGGAGCCTCCGGCTGCTATAGTTCTGTTCCAGCCCCAGGGAAGACCACGACCCTCACTAGAAGCTGCATGGGGAGGTAGGGGAAACCTGGAACCCAAGCCCCCAGCAGAAGCTGCATGGTGAGGGGGGGAGGAGGGAGAGGGGGCTTTGTAAGGATGCCTCTGTCACCAAGGACACACTACCACAATCTAATAGCCCCCTGGGTAAATATTTAGAAAATCAGTGTAAATTAGGGATGTGAATGTCTAACTGGTGGGGGCTTGAGCAGTTCTGCCTCCCTTCCCCCACCACCACTGGCAGGGGGCTGCTCTAGCCAAGTGGGGGGCCCAGCTGTAAACAGGGGCTGCTCTGGCTTCATGGCTGAAGCTGCCTCTGATGAGGCCCCCACGCCCTACAGGCAGGGGCTGCTCCAACCCATCCAGTGCAGTTTGCCCTGTAGTGGGAGGGCCACTCCAGCCCCCGCCCCTTTAATCGGGTAACCAGTTAAATAGCTTTAACCTGTTAACCAATGAAATGGGATTTTACATCTCAAGTGTAAATGTACCTTTCCTCAGTTTCCTTTTCTAGCTAGTTATGACCCCTTGGATCATAGTAAGCTGCCGTGCTTAGTTATTGATCCTATTTGGAGACTTGCACAATCCTAAGTCCCTGTTCAGTTATCTCCTTTATTGGATTAATTTTCATAGATTAGCCAAGAGTAGGAGAAACTGCCTTTCCCTTACAGGTTTTAAATTGTTACCATTCAGAATAGCAAATGCTGATCGATGTATTGTCAGTCCCAAGAAGTAACTAGACTCTTCCTTGTTCTCCAAATCCTGATCAACTTCCCTCCCTATCTTTTGACAATGCTTAGAATAAATAGCTGTATTCTGCATTAGTGTGGTAAGGGATTTTTGCTTATCTGCTCCGTTCTGGTCCTCTGTTGCGTACATTTTTGTGAGGGAGGGACTGGTTTGATTTCCCCTGCGGTGTCCTAAATGACTTGCTGCCTGACGTGTTAATGAGAGCTGAGATTTTGATTACAGCCAGTAGCTCTAGATCTTTTCTATAGGCACTGGAGTAGCAGAATACCAAGTTCCCAGATAGGATCATTCCCTTCTGTGAGAGGCAAGTTATGAACAGGTCACTGTATATAACCCATTGCAAGTGTATGTAAAACATGCCAGGGAGACAATTGTTCTGAAGGGCTGGAAGAGGCATTAAGAGTTAAACAGCAGCAGCTGGCGCCTTACTTGAAGTGGCTTGTAATTTTCATGCTTTGACTCCAAGTGGGAAAGTAATCAGATGACTGAATGGAAAGAAAGCTGAAAGATGTGGCTGTGGGGGGAAAAAAAGAGGAGGAGGGGGAAATAGTAGAGGGGTAATTTAGAGCACCCGGTGCTGAGAAGAGAGAGGCTTTAAATATAAAAATGCTAAAGAACGACTTGCCACCAAAATAGAAGCTTTTCATATTAGTGCTTTGCAAAAGCCATATGCAGTGCTCACTTCACTGAAATGCAGCTACTTCTGAGGTAGATCAGCAGCTGTTTAATGATGCAAGCCTACACACAGGTTTAGTGTACGAAGCGAAGGACCTTGCAGCCCACAGAAATTGCAGGAAGAATTTCAGATGGGCAGAATGTAATTACCTCCGTTTCAATTTGACCACGGCACCAGGATTAACAACTTTCTCTTTCAAAAAGGATCATGGGAATTGCAATGAACATTCGTTCTGCAATCCGAGTGTGAGATCCTTGGTGTTACAGCTTAAGCAAAAGGCCGTTTCTAGTCGGGATATAAGAGTGTAGCTGTTTAAAAGGGTAACCAATAAGTGTAGCTTATTGGTTACACATGGCTCCCAGGCCAGGTCCCAGGGAGCTGGTGGCTGCCCCTTGTTGCTATCTCTGTACCAGCATGGGGCGGCAGGCAGGAGCTGCTACATGGCAGGAGTGCACACCAGCTCCCTGGGAGCTGGCTGCCACCCATGTGTAACTACTGACATTTTCAGCGATTACACAGTTAGCCAATTTCATGCATTTTAACAACCCTCGTTCCTCACCACCATGCTGAAGCATTGGTTCAGAGCTAACTTAAAAGGAAGAACGTTCTTCCTGAAAGAATCCTCGTCCGTACCTCCTGTAGTAACTAGATTTTCATGGAGTGCGTCCCCTCCATGGACCGGCCTGTTTAGCTTGTGCGATGACCATGTCCTAGTTTGAGGTGGTCTTGCTTGGAGGCATCTTGAGGCATCTGATTCTGACCTAAGTGAGAGACAGAATGCAACTTTGGGCTGGGACTTACAACCGTGTAACACTAGGTGACTGACTTCCAGGTGCAAGAGTGTGCCTACAGTATGTCTAGCAAGGAGAACTTCTGAAAGCCACGTGTTCTACGTTGAGAGAATGGAGACCAATCCCCTTTCACAGCCAACATGGTCAAAATGACCTGCAGTGTCGAAAGATGCTGCCGCAAAACCCGACAGCTAACACTTGAGGCCAATGTTCAGCAGCAGGAGAGGCTGCATCGGTGCCTAATCTCAGATCTTTTGGCTTCCTGTGCTTGTATGTTCTTGATCAGGAGTCAAAGATCTCTTATTGCTTGGGCAGTCTACTCTCCCTTCTGTGCTGCGATGCCTTCATCCATTTTCATATCGCCATTGATGGGCAAATAAGAGGTCTGACCATTTTACAGAGCAAAAACGCCTTCTTGGGGTAAACGGCAAGAATCCGCTGGAAGGCCGTGGAACTTAATGAGACAAAGGAAGCTCTTGCAAGCTGTTAATGTATTTAGCCAGTTTCTCTAAAGATCTCATTAGTGGGGGTGGCGAGGCTGCTGTGCCATGGGCCTAATTAAAGAATACAAATATTTTCTCCATGCTGAAAACAGGCATTTGCTTGACGAGGTGGGAGAGAAGGTGTGTCCCCTATGAGCAGCCTTGAAACCACAGTAGCCAAAAGTAGTTCTGGGATTGGATCTGTTCAGGCTGAAATCTGAGCTTATGTCCTGTTGGGTCAGGAGTATACTAATGAAACCAAAACGCCCAGTAGGCTGACTGCTGCTTCCTTTAGAGATGGAGTACCACCCAGCAAGGGAGAAAGATCACTGCACTGTTACAGCAAGCTGAATGCTAACTAATGTGGGGCTGACTTGGGAGTGTTTGTCTTGGAAGGGTTTTGCTGCTGCTTTCTTGGCAGGGAAGGGTTTCTCTAAAGCCAGTCACTTTTAAGAGGCTGCTTGAGAGCTAAATTTCCTAGGGAAACAGCTCAGGAGCACAGATCGGTGACTTTTTTGGGCCGCTTTTAGTGACTGACTGATTCAGTGCAGCGAGAACATGACCCGAGGTAAAATGCATCTACAGGGATGCAGAATCTTTAGGGTGGCACCTGGTTTTCCCAGACGTGCTCAGTGGTTCTTAGTTTCTAAGCTCTACAAACCACCGGTGCTGCTCTTCACCTTCCCCGGCCATGAAATTTCCAGCGTCTTGGGCTAACTGAAGTCAGTGGAATTACAGGAGCGGGGGAAAATGGGCCACGAATGGCAAGGCGAGATGGCATGTGAAAAGTATCAGGGCGGATCCAAATAAAGCAACGTTGCTGGCCTCAGGCAGAGAGTCGGTGGAAGTTGCTTCCTAGTTTGCATTGCTGCAGCCAGCTTCCCCCGTATGATACTGGGAATCACTCTTCCCTTGGTTTAAGAAAAAGGGAGTTCAGTCTGGTGTTTATCCAGTGGTGCTGCAGCTAGGATAACGAACGGACCACTGAACCCTTCTTTGCTACTGCCCCGTGACGCAGTGACTGTCAATGACCCGTCAACGGGAAGGCCAGATTTCCTTGCACTGGCACCTGGCTGATCTGGGCTAGGGACTGTGCCTGAATGGCATTTAGATTTCATGCTAACACGAGAAGGCTCTTGGCTTTCCGTTGGCCGCTCCCATGGGCTTCGACAGTGGGAACTCTAATGCACCCCCAGGCCTAATGTAAGGCTCGCACTAGCAACACGAGCAACCCGGCGTTTGTAACAGACGCTTGTTTATCTCGCTGTGTTAAAACAGGGCAGGTTTAGTTGCGGTACCCCGGTTCTCAGTCAGTTTATTCTGGGCAGGCCCGACTTATCCAGTAGACACAGTCGGCACAGTGTCTAAGGCCCACGATACTTTTAGGGGCCCACGAAAACGTTTTAATTTCTTTTAAAATCAGAAGAAAAAAAATGAACTTTTAGGGTCGAAGAAAATGTGTTAATTTTTTTCTCACATCAGAAAAAAATGAAACCTTTAGGGCCCACGAAAAATCTATTAACTTTTGGCTAAAACAGGAAAAAAAAATTGTTGAAGTATTTAAAGTTATATCAAAAATAATGTTTCATATTTTTTTAATGGAGGAAGGGGCCCACGAAGGTAAAAGTGCCTAGGACCCACAAAAATCATAATGCGGCCCTGATTCTGGGCTGTTTATTTTTTACGTTAAGTCCTCTTCAAATAAGACATTGGTCCAGCTCTGCCCTCAGTCCGTGACAGGAGGAAGAGGGCTCTGGAGAGGTAGCGCACAAGCAGGGAGCTCTGACACAGACTTTTCACGGCTAGAACTGGAAGCCTTTCACAAAGGAAGGGAAGAACTGTTGTCGCGTTTGCAGAGGGGACGCTGGTGCCCGGGGAGGGGAAATGACCCGCCTAAGGTCAAACAGCAAATCCATGGCAGCAGTGGGAACAGAGCCTCATTCTCCTGGCCTGATGTCCTAGTCACTAGAAGAACATGCTCCCCCTTCCTGACAGGACCAAAATGGCTTGGAGTCCCACATACTGAACTCCCAACTTGGCTATCAGTAAAAGTTGTCAGCTTCCCAAATCGTCCTGTCCAATTGCTCCTCATCTCATCCCTCTGCTCCGTTGCCGGCTTTTCTACCGTCATTAAATCCAGCCCCTTCCTCGATCTCAGCAGAAAAGTCCTGGCCCCACACCCCCGGTATCTCAGAGGGCAGAGATTGGTGAGCAGGGGCTCGGTGCCTCGGCTGGGGGGGAAAGAGGGAAAATCTCACCTGTGTGAAATCGGGAGCCCATTAGCAAGAGAGGAAAGAGCAGTGGCAGCCGAGCGACTGGGTGTCTGCGCTGAGATGCAGGGCGCGTCAAGCGGTGACAGCTGAGAGCGCTCCCAAACTCCTCCTGGCCCCCAGCAGCAAGTCCCAGCCTGGCCGGCACAAAAGGGGCTGACGAGGGGGCTCCGAGCACCGATGGATTTGCAACAGCCGCCGAACCCCCTGTGAAAGGAGGGGGAGGGAAGATTGCTGCGGAGCCCAGCCACCCCACACGAGAGCAGGGGGTGAGCACCGCTCTTTGTGAGCGGCAGACTGCGTAAGAAGAAAAGTGTGTATGGGGGGGAGGGGAGGACGAATGCCAGGCTGCCTGCAGGAGACTTGGAAAAGAGCGAAAGGTCGGAGCACTTCTAGTCACCGGGGATCTAGCAGGGCTTGGAAGGGTTGCGGTTTGTGCTTCCGAGACGCCAGAGCAGGAATAAAGAGGAGAAGGTTTGTGTGCCGATGGGGAGGTAGCACCAGAGAGATCCCTGAGGACTGCAGGACAAAGGGAGCTCATGGACGGGCTTTACCTGCTAGCAGAGGGAGACGGGCTGGAGAGGACCAATGACACCCGCCGCAGGAGGAGTTGGGTGCAGGAGGAGCCCTCGGAGCCGTCCCTGCGGGGGGTGATGGCCGCCTTGCTCTTCCTCCTCATTCTTTCCACCTTGCTGGGCAACACCCTGGTGTGCGCGGCCGTCGTCAAGTTCCGGCACCTGCGCTCCAAGGTGACCAACTTCTTCGTCATCTCGCTGGCCGTCTCCGACCTGTTCGTGGCTGTGCTGGTGATGCCGTGGAAGGCAGTTGCCGAGGTGGCTGGTTTCTGGCCTTTCGGGGGCTTCTGTGACATCTGGGTGGCCTTTGACATCATGTGCTCCACCGCCTCCATCCTCAATCTGTGCATTATTAGCGTGGACCGGTACTGGGCCATCTCCAGCCCCTTCCGCTACGAGAGGAAGATGACCCAGCGGGTGGCATTTGTCATGATTGGGGTGGCTTGGCTGCTCTCCATCCTGATCTCCTTCATCCCCGTGCAGCTGAGGTGGCACAAGGCCAGCGAGCTCCTGGCTCAACAGGAGCCGGGCTCCAACCTCACGCAGGGCGCTCAGGAGAACTGCGACTCCAGCCTCAACAGGACCTACGCCATCTCCTCCTCCCTCATCAGCTTCTACATCCCCGTCGCCATCATGATCGTGACCTACACCAGGATCTTCCGCATCGCTCAGCGCCAGATCCGCAGGATCTCCTCCCTGGAGAGAGCGGTGGAGCACGCCCAGCACTGCCACAGCAGGGACTGCCCCCACGAGGCCTCCCTAAAGAACTCGTTCAAAAAGGAGACCAAAGTCCTCAAGACCCTGTCCATCATCATGGGCGTCTTCGTCTTCTGCTGGCTACCCTTCTTCGTGCTCAACTGCATGGTGCCCTTCTGCGACGCTGGCCTGCAGGATCCTGGCGCCCTGCCTTGTGTCAGCGAGACGGTCTTCAACATCTTTGTCTGGTTCGGCTGGGCCAACTCCTCCCTCAACCCCATCATCTACGCCTTCAATGCTGACTTCAGGAGGGCCTTTGCCACCATCCTGGCCTGCAGCCGCTTCTGCCCCAGCAACGTAGTGGAGACGGTGAATTTCAGCAACGAGCTGGTCTCCTACCACCATGACACCACCTGCCAGAAGGACGTGGTGACCCTCAGCTGCCCACACCTGCTGCCCCACGCCGCCCTGCCGGCAGACGACGAGCTGACTTTCGACAAGGTGTCTCAGCTCTCCCAGACCTCCCCCGACAACCACGCCAACGCCGCCTTGCCAGCCGTGGTCCACGTGGAGTGCGAGACAGATATTTCACTGGAGAAGATCACTCCCTTCACTTCCAACGTGCTGGGTTGAAAAGGACCATGAGAAGGAGAGAGGGAGGGGGAGAGGGATGGCTACCCTTCTGGCTGGGCAGGAGTTTGTTAGTAGCAAGGAAGAGTGACTTTCCAGGGAACTGGATGGCTGAGCGGAATGGGGTCTGGGATGTTTCGCCTCCAGCCCGCGGCTCGACCCCGGCCCAGGTTGGTGGTGGATGAAAGTAGCTGATGGCTGTCGAGTGCCAGATGAGTTTGGTGGGTCTCAGCATAGTTCTGAGGAAGAGAGAAATGACCCGGTGTGGTTGTCAGTAGCTTATGGAAATGAACCTTCCCCCTCAGTCCATTTCGGAGGGTACGGGCCAGTGGTTTTAAAATGACAGTTCATGACCCAGTGCTGGGCCGTGCAATGTCAGGCCCTGGGTCTCGTGGCTGCAGGGGGCTCAGGTGAGCAGTGGGGGGCTGAGGCAGATCCCTGCGCTGTTCCCCAGAAGCGGCCGGCAGCAGGCCCGGCTCCTAGGTGGGAGAGCGCACCGGGCTCCACGCACTGCCCCTGCCCTGAGCACTAGCGCCGCACTCTTGTTGGCTACGAACCTGCTGCTGGCTGCTTCTGGGGTGCAGCAGGGTCTGCGGTGCCAGGAGAGGCAGGAAGCTGCCTTAGCCCCCTCCCCGCTGCACCGCTGACTGGGAGCTGTTCAATGTAAGCCCCTCCTGCCCCCCCCCAAAGCTGGAGCCCCCTCTTAGACCCCAAAGCCCTCACTCTCAGTCCTGCCCCACACTCCAGTCCAATTCTATTGGGTTGCAGCATCAATGATTTTCTTCAACGGGGTCATGGGAAAAAAAGTCTGAAACCTGCTGGAATAGGCGGGGGGGAGGCAGTTCTATTGCTGCATCGCCTGGCCCTGTGGCTGTCACTCGCCAGGGCGACACAAGTCTCACTGAAAATGCAGCACACCTGAGGGACTGCAGCCTGCACTATCGTGCCCTGGACAGGCAGGGCTGAGACATGCTCTAAGCTCCGTGGCTGAGGCAGCCCTACGGTGGGGACCACCTTAGGCACGTAGGGGAGAGAGAAGAAATGCTTCACGAGCCACCTTGATCCTGGCCTTGTCCCCAGCCTGGACTTTGCAGCCAACCCCGGAGAATAGCAAACAGGGAGCAGGCAGCTAGGGATCCTGGGTTCCGCTCCTGGTTTTGGGAGGGGTAGGTGGTCTAGTGGTTAGGGCAGGTAAGCCAGGAGTCCGTTCCACCTCTGGGAACAAGGCTTTGGGTGTTAGGAAGTCAGGATGCTCCGGCAGGTCGGTCCGTGGTGGCCTTGCTCTCCTGCACCTCTGGGGGAAGTTGAGTAAATAGGCACCCGGTTACCTGCGAAAGGTGTCTCTTCTTCATGGCTCTAGCTCAGGCAGGTTATCCTCCAGGACAGTACAAATAAAGCCCATTGGGTTGGCGCTTTCAGGCTGCCCTGTGCTGTGGCTGTCTGGGCGATGGCTCCAACCTGCCTTTGGGGCACAGACCCAGGGTCTGAACTGGCCCTGGGCATGCTCCAATCCTGCCCGTGGTCCGTTCCACCGCCCTGGTTGCTTATCGCTGCTGTCAGGAAAAGGCACGTTCTTTGTAGCCGCTGTGGCTACTGACTGGGTCTGAATCCTTCCTAGCCAGCGTGTTTCTGTAGGAAAGAAGCAGAATCCTGATTTTAGGGGGGGAGATGTTGATCTCAGTGGTTCCTTTGCTTCCCCTTTATCCTCCATCCCTCACCCTCTCTGAAGTCTGTCTTCTCCATTTCCCCTGCAAGCCTCTCAACTTTGCAGTCTTTCCACACACCCCCCCGCACCCCTTTATTAGATCTGGGTGCCTGGCCTCATTTCAATAACAATAGCTTTCTGAGATGCTCCCTTTCCTCACTCACTTGTACTTTTTAATTAGCAGCTTCTTTGCCTATTCGAACCTGCGTCTGGTTGCCCCGGTACCAGATGGGGTGTGCGTGTGTGGGGCGGGGGAATCGGGGAGAAGCCCCCAGCCTCGCACTGTGAAACGTGGCACTGATTGTTTTTATGGGTGTGTGTTCAGAGAGGCTTGGATAACGGTTGCAGGACAAATGGCATGTCCAGGTTATCCTGAAGCCGGGTGCCTCCACGTTCTGGCATGGGCAGCTCCGTAGCACTGCCAAAGCCCTTTCCTTTCGCCCCTCCCAACAAACCTTCACAAAGAGAACTCCGAAGGTGATAATTACAGAGTAATGATAATTATCTGATGCAGCCCAGTGACAGGCGCGTCTCCGCACAGTCGGTGTGGGAGGGGAACAGAAGTTGGGGGGGGGGATCCTTAGTTTCTAGGACTCTGCTGCAGTATTACTGATAGGATGGTACTTAACTCTCCTTGTCGCCACCTCTTAGAACAGCAGGGTTGTCTGGCTAATGGTTAGAGCAGAGCTGTGCTGCCTGGGTTCTATTCCCAGCCGTGGGGAAGAAGGAACAGTGGGATGGGGAGTCAAGTGGCCTGGGTTCTATTCCCAGCCATGGGGAAGAAGGAACAGTGGGATGGGGAGTCAGGTGGCCTGGGTTCTGTTCTCTTTGGGACTGGCGCTTTATGATGTGTTTATACAGTGCTTAGTACAATGGGTTGAGGCATTGCTGCATTATGTGATCCCAGACTGGGAGAGGAGCGTTCTCCAGTGGTTAGAGCAAGGATGCCATTGGGAGTTAGGGCTCCAGGTTTCTCTATTCCAGGCTCCGCTGCTTCCCTGGACAAGTCACTTTACCTTTCCATCTCGGCCTCCCCAACGAGGCTCTACTGCACACCTCACCCATCGCGCTGCTGTGAGGCTTCGTCCCCGAGCACGTGTAACGTGCTTTGAGATGGGCAACGTGCGCATGACCTTTTCGTTCCGCTGTGAGAAAAGTTGGGCCAACTTGCCGCGTGTGGATGCAGCCGTTGCTGGCGCCGGTGGACAAGCCGAGCGGGGGAGTGGCTGTGAAAAAACGTTATTTATTATCTCTCCAATGCCCACACACCCTGGCGAAGTCCCACTGGAGCAGCAGCAGCAAAGGTTTCTTCATTTCCTTCTTTCAGAAACTCCCTGGTTCTGGACTTCGCTGACCGGACAACAGGCCCTTTCCCCCTCCCCTCCGGCCTCTGACTGTGACCTCTGCCACAGCTGGCCTGTGTTTTCCTGGTGCCTTCGGCCCAGCTGCCGAGGGGGTGGCAAAAGACTCACCCGAGCCTGTGGCCTCCAGGGTGTTGGACTGGCCCCTCTGGGCTACGGACATGCAATGACCAGGCTAGGACGTGGGCAGCAGCTTCAAACCCACATATGTGTTTCTGTGCTTAACTAGGATTGTCTGTCTGGCAAAAAAAAAAAAAAAAAAAAAATCTTGCTCCTTTCAGTGCGGTGTGGTTTTCTGGTGTGTTTCCCGCACAGGCGGCTGGGAGTACAGGCTGCATGGGGAGGAACATGGTAGGGTGTAGCTGAAGCAGCACTTAGAAACATAGAACACTAGAACTGGAAGGGACCTCGAGAGGTCATCGAGTCCAGTCCCCTGCCCCCATGGCAGGACCCAGCACCATCTAGACCGTCCCTGATAGATGTCTATCTAACCTGCTCACTTGTCTGCTCCTTTCCTGCTGCAGGCACCCTAATATATGCTTGGGGATCCCTCCCCAGTGCAAGAGGATGTCAGCCAGTGAGCCCTTTGCAGATGCACCTTCCATGGCACTCAGGCTAAGAGGAGTCGGGGCAAAGGTGGCTGTAGTCCCTGGTGTATCCACAAGCAGCCGCAGGGGCTCCTAACGTAGGACTGGAACCCACAACTCCCTCTTGGGACATTTAACAACCTGGACTAGCCAGAGCTCAGTGTATTCCAGCTGCTGTGCTTGCAGGAGAACCCAGCAGGGGGAGGGATGGTAGGGCTGTTTTGCTGGGATTTGGCCAGGGTGGAGGCTTGCCCCATGGGTAAGAACATAAGAATGGCCATACGGAGTCAGACCAAAGGTCCATCTAGCCCAGTGTCCTGTCGTTTGATTGTGACCAATGGCAGGTGCTTTGGGGGAATGAACAGACGTGGGAATCATCAAGCGATTCATCCCGTCATCCATTCTCGGGACACCATCCTTGCCCATCCTGGCTCATGGCCGTTGACAGACTGATGCTCCATGAATTTACCTGCAGGTTGAACCTCTCTAGTCTGGTACAATTTGGTCTGGCAACATCTGTGGTCCGGCATGATTTTAGTTAGTCGGATGTCCACTTACCATCCCTGTGTCCAAGTTTCCCACGGTCCCATAACGTTTGTTTCTAGCCAGCAGTGTTCTGTGCTGTTATTTAGTTCTAATATACCCCTAACTGTCTTCCATGAGCCTTGTAAGCAGTGGAAGTGCTGGTAATGCTGGTAGGCAATAGTGATCTCCCAGGCTGTGTCTACACTGCACCCCTTTTCTGGAAAAAGGGGGCCGTGTAGACAGCCCCATGGTTCAGCTGGTTCGGCACCCATCAGGTCCCGCAGGTGCAGGACTAGAGAGGTTCAACCTGCAGTTCTTTTTTGAACCCTGGTATAGTCTTTGATGCTTCAACATCCTCTGGCAAGGAGTTCCACAGGTTGAATGTGTGTTGTGTAAAAAAAAAAAAATCTTCCTTTTATTTGTGTTAAACCTGATACCTAGTTCATGGGGTGACTCTAGTTCTCATGTTATGGAAAGGAGTAATCCCCCAGGGAGGTGACTGCCAACCCTAGAATGCCCAAAGGGTACCGGAAAGAGTCAGCGATGATAATAGGAGAGTTTACGCTTAACACATTTTGGAAGGGCTCAAACGCCTCCAGGTTTAAGCCAATCTCTGTGTCTTCATGAGACTTCCAAGGAGGGTAGATGATCCCACAGCTGGCACTGCGAGATTGCTTGTCCCTTCTTCTGAAGCAGTTGGTGCCGGCCATAGGTATTCGGCTAGAGGCGTCTCAGCTCTGAGGCAGTCTAGCAACTCCTTTGTCAGGAAAAGAAGCATGCAAAGTTTTGGCATTTACCTGTCCCCCAGAGCCGTAATTCCCAGCTACGGTTGCACCACTGGCTCTGTCTTCTGGCTCACTCGCACCATGACTCATCCTCTCACTCACCCCTATAGCCCTAGAGCAGTAGTGGGCAACCTGCAGCCGGTTGGGTTCTATGTGTGGCCCATGAGACAAAGGCTGCCAGTCTCACATCTTACTCCGGATCCCTAAGGCTCTGCGTGCGCTAGCGCTGACTGCACCCTTTGCAGAGGCTGCTGCACACCTACCGGGGCCCCGCG